AAGCGACAAATTGCCAATTATATATATATATATATATATATATATGTACGTATGTATATAATATTTATTGTTTGGTAACATTTTAAATGACGTGATGTTCTTTTTCTTTTGAGAGAAAAGGTATGAATTATATAATAAGGTCCAATACATCACGTCTGTTATTATTTCAGTTGAATTTTTTGTCATACTTTATTTTTGACATTAATTTCAATTTTTAACGCAAAATAATTATATATATAAGTATCATGTCGAAATATATAACATTATGTTTCCGGCTCCAAGCAACGCAGGAGAGTTTTATATATATATATATATATATATATATATATATATCCAAAGATTAGTTGTAAGTTCAGGTCTGCTAAAAGTTTATTTCAGATAGTAAAAGTTGATACGCATAGATGATAACAGTGGTTATATTGAAGGGCCAGAACGAAGGCGGTACGTAGATATAAAAGCAGGGAAGCTAATTAATGCAAAAAGAGAAAAAGCATGGAAGGGCCTCTCAAATCTTATCCAGCCACAAGCTACGTCGTCTTCTCAATCGGTTTGAAAACATTATCTCTTCAATTTCAGATATATATATATATATATATATTTATCGTTGTAATTACAAATCCTACTTATAAATCGTAAGTTTATGATCAGAGTAAACGACACTCCCCCACAGCTCCTTTTACACACCAAGGCAACTCCAGTTTTCTTTCGCTCTGTAATTGTGACACCCAAATTTTTATTTTTATTATTATTAAAATTATTTTGATTTTATTTTATTTTAATAATTAATTTATTAATTAATAATTATATGATTTTAATTTAATTTAATAGAGATAAAAATAATAATAATAATGATAAAAATAAGTAAAATTATTTTTTGAATTTAATTGAAAATGATTTTAAAAAAATGAGTAAAAATTTAGACTCTGGAGGTATTTTTGAAAAAAAAATCGAAAATCGTAAGTCAAAACACAATTTAGAAAAATTACGCCACGTCAGCAGCCCGGTCAGCAGCTCCGGCCAACCAGGACACGCCGCGTGGCAGAAACACTGACGCGGGAAGGCCACGCGGAACAAGCCACGTGGGCGATCCACGTGCGCGCGATCGGACGGCTGAGATCCGTCCCGCTCGCACGGACAACCCAGATCAAACGCGCGCTCGAACGACCAAGATTGCACGCGTGCGGACGACCCAAATTCCATCGTGATGGACGACCCAGATTTATTTCTAATTTAATCGCGATCGGACGGCCCAGATTAAATCATGATGGACAACTCAGATTAAAAGAGGAATGTTATAAATAATCTCATCCACACTCAATCCCAAACCCTAGCCGCCAGAACCCGCACCAGAGAAGACAACCCAGCCACCGAAGGAACCGACCGTCGCCATCTACCCCGCACCGGAGCACCTTCCAGCCGCCAAACGAGGTAAAATTTCTCTCCTTGGCTCGGTTTTAGATGCTAAACCCACCTGTGGCCAAATCAAAGCCAAACCACTGGTCAATTGGCCGAAAAACATCGCCAAAGCCCAGCAGTGCCACCGTGAGTTTTCTCAGTTTTTGCCTTCGATGAAGCCCTTCCCGATTCCTGTTCGATGTAATTTTTACACCACTGTGACCACCGTCCTTTTTTCTACAGGTTGACCGGAGCAAAACATCAAACCACGACTCGCGCTGGAGGAGCCGCCGCACCCGAGAGCTCCGCTGCTGGTAAGTCTCAGTTTTCTGAATTTTTTGGCCCACCGAGGGCCCTAGAGGTGTTTTATCACAGGAACTAACGCAAGTTTGGCCGAATTCGGCTGAAAATGGCCAGAAACAGCCAATGCGAGGCGGATCGCCGTTGCAAGCGGTGGCGGCGCCGCCGGAGTACGGCGGAGCCACTGTGCCGGAATTTTGAAATTGGTTGAATAGGCCCTAGGTCTGATTTGGGATTTTTTGGGGACATGTGCAGGTACCGAAAGTGTATTTCAGTTTCCAAAAAAAATTCAGGGAATCTAAGGACTGCTTGTACGCACAGTAAGAACCCGATTTCAGACTCCGAAACAAGTAAGGATCCCTCACCCTATTTTCTATCACGGCATTAAAGCTTAATAAATGATAAAACGGTATTTTATGAATTAATAAATATGTATAATTAATTAAGATTGCTAATGGGACCTGAACCTGATGTATTTATTGGTATGTTTCTGTTTGATGTATTTTACAGTCAAAATG